GGGATTGGAACAAGCTTCAATCAGATTTTGGTGTAGTGCCAATACCAGGGTTAGTTTCTGAAGATCCTTCAGAAAGTTCTGAAGACGAGTCAGAGTTAGAAGATGAAGACTCTGAAGATGAGTCAGAATCTCAGGGAGATTCTGATAGTGAATCTGATTCTGATCCAGATTCTGATGATGATTCAGAATCTGGTGGTGATTATACTTATGGAAGGGAAAACTCTGAAGACATGGGGTCTGGAGAACAAGTTTCCAGAAGTAACTCTGAAGGTGGTAATTCTGAAGGAAATAATTCTGGACAAAGTCCAGAAGCCAGCACAGTTCCGAGTTCTGGAGAAGCTTCAGAACAAGATCAGAGGCCACAGAGAATCAGACGAATACCAAGTAGGTTTGCAGATTTTAGCATGTTGCATGATACTGAAGTAGATTCTGAAGAAGAAATCGTTCAGTGTGCCATGCTAGTAGATTCTGAACCAGTGGGTATTGAAGAAGCGCTCAAGAAGAAAGTATGGCTGAATGCCATGAAAGAAGAACTTGAGGCTATTGAAAGAAACAAGACTTGGAAGCTGACAGAACTTCCAAAAGGCAAGAAAGCCATCAGCTTCAGATGGGTTTTCAAGCAGAAGCTAAAGCCAGATGGATCAATTGGCAAACACAAAGCGAGACTAGTGGCCAGAGGTTTTCTTCATAAACCTGGACTAGATTACTTTGAGGTGTTTACGTCTGTAGCTAGACACGAAACAATCAGACTGGTGATTGCTTTAGCTGCAAACAGAAATTGGCCTTTGATACATCTGGATGTGAAGTCTACATTTCTGAACAGTCCATTACAAGAAGAAGTTTATGTGTCACAACCTCCTGGATTTGTGAAAAAGAATCAGGAAGGGATGGTATACAAGTTAAATAAAGCTCTGTATGGACTGAAGCAAGCGCCCAGAGCTTGGAATTTGAAGATTGATTCGTTTTTTAAGGAACAAGGTTTTCAAAAGTGTGAGATGGAGTATGGTGTTTATGTTCAGCACACTTCAGAAGGTAATATGATTCTGGTATGTTTGTATGTTGATGACATATTACTCACAGGAGGTTCTGAACAAGAAACAGTTGAGTTCAAGAAAATTCTGATGAATGCGTTTGAGATGACAGATCTTGGAAAAATGAGTTTCTTTCTAGGAATGGAATTTATATACTCTGAGAAAGGAATCATCTTACATCAGAAGAAGTATGAACTGGAGCTTCTGAAGAGATTTGAGCTAGCAAATTGCAAAGTTGCTATCACACCTGCTGATACGAATCAGAAGTTGGATTCTGATTCTGATGGAGAGGATGTGGATGCTACAACTTTCAAACAGATGGTTGGTTCTCTGAGGTATTTGTGTAATACCAGACCTGATATTTGCTATGCAGTTGGAATGGTCAGCAGATACATGAGCAAATCAAAGTGGTCTCATTACCGAGCTGTTGTCAGGATTCTGAGGTATGTAAAAGGAACTCTGAAATATGGAGTGTTATTTCCTTCTGGAGGAAAGATCAAATCAGAACTTCTGAGTTATTCTGATTCTGATTGGTGTGGAGACAGAGTTGACAGAAGAAGTACTTCTGGGTATTTTTTCAAGTTTCTGGGAGGTCCAATTTCTTGGAGTTCCAAGAAACAACCTGTTGTGGCTTTGTCAACATGTGAAGCTGAATATATTGCAGGTGTTGTAGCTGCTTGTCGAGCAGTTTGGCTTCTGAATCTGCTGCATGATCTGAAGGTTGAAGTTGAGGAACCTCTGAAGCTGATGATTGATAATAAGTCTGCAATTAATCTTGCAAAGAATCCAGTGCTACATGGAAGAAGCAAGCACATTGAGACGAAGTATCACTTTCTCAGAAGTCAAGTGCAGAAAGGAGTGTTAGAAGTTCTGCACTGTAGCACTCAGAAGCAGCTAGCAGATGTTCTGACAAAGGCGATAAAAATAGACCAATTTCTTCGCTTGAGAGATGAAATTGGTGTTGTTAACTTCTGATAAGTTACTAAATTACGGGATGGTATTAGAGGGTAATTTAGTATTTGCCATATGTAGGATATTCCCTTTAGGCCCTATGTGGCATTCTTTTCTTTATTATTTTGTGTATAAATAGGTGTACTAGCTTTACATTTAATACAATCAATTTCCTTCAATCATTAGTGACAACTTTTAACATTTATTCATTTTCTCTCTTCTTCATCAATTTCATCACCTTACACTAACAATCTCTGCTACAATTATAACAGATTTGACTATCTGTGAACTATGTCTTGCTAAAACAGTCTGGGAGAATAATGCTTTTAAATACAATGCTTCTACTACTAAAAGTATAGAAAATGAATATGAGTTTTATATTGGCAGTTATTTTTCAAACCACATTAAAACTTTGAGGTGTGAAAAATGATTTCTCAAATCAAATTTATGCAATAAAATATTACTAGAAGTTTGTTGTTGTAGTCGATTAGTAGTAATACTGAAATATGTGTTATTAAATCTAATCAATTGTTATCAATTTTAATTTTGTTATTAAATCAATTACATTTTCTGTAATTATAGTATATTTTATTTTCTAATCTTTGTTAATAAATAAATCACTCCATTTTAATTTTGATATTATATGATTTTTGGAGATTTATTATTTCTTTGTTCATAAATAAAACACTCTCTATCTTATTTACTATACACCAAGTAATCATTTAATTGAAACATTTATATACAATTATTTATTTTTGTAGTTAGACTTTCAATTATTAATTATAATATTTCTAATAACTTATTACAATACACTAGACATTGATTCTTATATAAGAAATAATTATATGCCACACTTCAGTATCATTTAAATCAATTTTTTTTTTAGAATGAAAAACTTTTTGATGCATGCATCACACAAACAGAATTAATTAACATAAAAACAAAAAAAATAATACAAGCTTACTTTTTCAAGAAACTTGTGCCAAAAAAATTATTTATTTTGAAAACTATTTATTTAAAACGTATAAATAAAAATTGACTATAATTAATGATTTTTATTTATTTGAAAATTATAATTACCATTTCAAACTATATATGAAATTTCTTAATATTATGGTTATCATTTATAATTAATGCATATTAAATATATATATATATATATATATATATATATATATATATATATATATATATATATATATATATATATATATATATATATATATATATATATATATATATATATATATATATATATATATATATATATATATATATATATATATATATATATATATATATATATATATATATATATATATATATATATATATATATATATATATATATATATATATATATATATATATATATATTAAGTGTATTACATAATATGCAAAATAGTATTATAGAATTTCACTTATTTGTTATTTTTATTTTGTGATACAGTGAAATCTCATTTAGTATACACTAAGTTATTATTATGAGTAAAATATTTGATATAAAATTTATCATGTAAGAATATTATTAAATTTTATTTATTATGTAAAATTCAATTAACATTAAAAATTTAATATTTTTTCGATCAAATATATTAGTCTAAGAGTTTTTTATTTTATTTCTTAGTTTAACAACGGTAGATTATTTACCGTAATGAATGTGCTTGCAAACATAGATGTGATTTTTGTAGGAAAAAAAGGTAATTTTGTAGTACAATTAGATAAATTATGTTTTAATTAATAATTTAATTCAATTTATATTTTATACGTAATTATTTTTATATAATATTATATTTTTAATTGAAAATTTAGTTCAACATATAAATCTATTTTACACATTTTTTTAATCATATATTTTTTAATTAAGATAATTTAAAAAATAATGTCATTACATTCAAAAATAATAAAATATAATTAAATAAAATAAAAAGTGATACAAAAAAAAATGTAAAATAGATTTAATAATATTTTTGTCAAAATACTTGGTGTATCTAGAATTTAAAAAATTATATTACAATTTTAATTTTTAGTTTTATTTGATTCATGAAAGTAATCTCTTTATTTTAAATTAAAAAAATTTTGGTCCGCTCTCATATTTTTAGTAGAAAATTGACGATATTTTTTAGTTTTTTAATTTATATTTTTTTAAATAAAATTTTACAATACATTTATATCCGATTAACTTTTTATTATTATTTTGAAGATTATTATTGAAGAGTAGATTATAGGTTTGATTTTAATCTCCATGTTGAATGAACATACTTTACGTAATTTATTATATTTTGACGGGGTGTTATATGTTATGTTTCTAAAAAATGTAAATATAATCTAATAACAAAGTTTTAGGTTTGTAATTTAACAAGGAGTTGTATTGTAGGTTATAAAAATAAAAAATAAATATGATATAATAAAAAAGTTTTAAAATCGAAATTCGATAGAGAGCTGTCATACATTTTAGGTTTGAATAAATTGACTAATATCTAAAATAGATTTAATAAACTTTTAGAATTAACTCATTTGAATTCAATTGGAGTTTATTAACTCATCTGAATTCATATATAGATACCAACTATAGATTATTAATTTTAATACTCATCTTTTAAATCTTTCTTTTACTACTATTTAATATAATTGAAGCTAGATAAATAATTATACGGATTATTATAAATACGAATTAATACTTAAAAAATAAATACATATTATTAATTTATGTTTATAATTATGAGAATGTTAATCAATACAAAAATAAATTTCATACTTTACAAAGAATAATGTGATACATGTATAATGTGATAGGATCCGGGAAATAGGGCGACTATCTTCCTACTAAAATTAAGCTTAAAGCTGTACTAACAAATAAAAAACACTTTTAAATTCTTTCTTTACACTCTTCTTTTTAAAGAAAAAGTAATACTGAAATTGTAACTTTTCAGCCAAACAGAGCCTATAAAATCCAAGAGTCCACGTTCAACTTTCATCATTCATCACTTCGTCTCATCAAAACGCGAACCACAAAACCATGAACGACTTACTCTCCGTCCAAAACGACAACAGCCACCACCACCACCACCACGTCATCCATATGACGGAAAGCACCACCACCACGGTGACCACACTCAACAAATTCTTTGAAGAAGTCGAGTCGGTGAAGGAAGAGTTGAAAGAGTTGGAGAAACTCCGCATAAGTCTGAGAGCCTCGCATGGGAAGAGCAAAAGCCTTCACACCGCCACCGCGGTGAAGGAGCTTCGTTCTCGAATGGACTCCGACGTTACTCTGTCGCTCAAGATAGCTAAACTGGTTAAAACTCGGTTGGAGCTGCTTGATCGGTCGAACGAAGCGAGCCGGTCGTTGGTTGATTGTGGACCCGGTTCGTCTTCTGATCGAACGCGGTTGGCGGTGGTTGCTGGTTTGAGGAAGAATTTGAGAGATTCGATGGAGAGTTTTAATGTACTCAGGGAGATGATATCGTCGGAGTATAGAGCGACGGTGCAGCGGAGATACTTTACCGTTACCGGAGAGAAAGCTGATGATACAACTCTTGATCTCCTCATCTCTACCGGTACTAATATTATGCATTTTTTTGAAAAAATTATTTATGGCTTATTTAGTTATTTATTTATTTCTAATATTTTCAATCAAAAATTGAAAATAAATGCCACTTTTTTGAAATACTAAACTTAATTTTATTTTTTTAGGAGAAGATTGGTAGAAAAAAGAAAATGATAAATGAATATTCATTACTACAATGTTTTTAATTTTTAAAATAATATAATAACATAAAATATATTTGAAAAAGAGATTAATCAATAAATATCTTACACAATCGGTCAATGCATCATAGTTATTAAAAAATTTACTTTATGGATTATATAAATTATTAAAATAAAAATTAAATAATCACAATTAATTTGACATTGTAAACTCTACATGCCAATTAATTTCTTTGAAAAATTTATATAAATATTTACAAAACTCAGCTCACTAATTTTAAAATCCAAACTATTTCCTCCGTTTCATATTATTTTTCATAATCGATCATTTCATATAAATTTAGAAACAACAATAAATAAAAGAAAGAGAAGAGTGATTTTACCAAATTATCCTAATTAATAATTAATGTATTTAAATTAATATTAATGTTAAATGAGAAAATAATAAATTAAAAAGATTTATTAGAAGGTACAATTGAAAAATTAAATATAAAATTATATTGATAATTTAAAATAATAAATATTTAAAAAAAATTTATATTATAAATAAAATTAAATCCTTTAAAATCCTATCAATTAAAATCTTTTAATTCTTTCAATCTCATTCTTCTTTTTTTTAAACTCATATTCTCATTTCTTCTCCAACTTTTCAAATAAAGCTTTAGATTGTATGCCTTTATTTGATGCAAGGTTAACTTTTATTTTCAATAAATTTGTTTGTTGGTGTTAAAGTTACTTTTTTTAATTTGTATTACGATTATTGTTATTTAATTTTAATTAGTAAAAATTTAAAATTTATGAACAATTTTTTTTAAAATATGTACATTATTTGTTAAACACACATAATTTTTTTAATATTTTGATACCTTTTTTTTTACACATATTTTGATACTTAATATTTAAAAAGGTGTCATTTAAAAGTTTGCCTATTTATATATTTGACTATTGTGAATCAGCTGAAAGCGAAACATTTTTACAAAAAGCCATTAAAGAACAAGGGAGAGCAACAGTGATGGAGACAATACAGGAGATTGAGGAGAGACATGGTGCTGTGAAAGAGATAGAGAGAAACCTAAATGAGCTACATCAAGTGTTTTTGGACATGTCTGTAATGGTGGAAGCCCAAAGTGATGAATTGAATGACATTGAGAGACAAATGATGCGAGCAAATTCGTACGTTAGGAAAGGTATCCAACAAATACATGTTGCTAGGAAGCATCAAAAGAATAGCCGTAATTGGACATGTTTTGCCATTTTAGTCCTTCTCATTATCGCTTTGGTTGTAATTCTTCCTATTGTTTTGAAAAATAATTAGATGAGATTAATTAATTCATTAATTAATTCTCAAATGGTGGCTCAAAACTTAACAGTCAAGTCAAAGAAAAGTATAAAAAATGAGATTCATATTCGTTAATATTATTTTGTAATAGTTTTATTTTGGTCCCGTATTGTGATTTTTTATTTTCCTTACTAATGTTTTGGTTGATACATTTGAATACTTTTTCTTAAGAAAAATTGTTCAAAGATTTTAGTGTTAGAAGTAATTCAAAACTATAGTAGAATGTGTGTAGTTAGTTGTTCAATATTGTGTTGCCAAATGTAATGTATTGTGATCTCATTATATAAGTTAGAACTTTCACTTTGTAATAAGTTGCAGTTGCTGATATATGAGAAATACGATTCTATCATTAAAGTGTGTATGCTCTAACAACTAGTATCTAGAGGTCGAACCGACAGAAACTTCTCAACGAATCTTTTTGTTCTCAATGAAATGATTGGGATCGATGGCGGGTGCAGATGAAAGTGATTATGGGTTACCAAGAAGACTAAAAAACTGTCGAAGATGGTTACTCAACACTTCCTAACAGTCCCACAGATGCACATAGGATGTTTCAAAAAGAAAATAAGAAGAAAGATTGTAAAGCAACTTTCTTGATTCATCAGTGTGTTGATGAAACATATTTGAGAAGATTGCAGGTGCTGCAACTTCGCAAGAAGCGTGGAAGATTCTAGAGACCTGCAACGGCAGAGCAGAGAAGCTAAAGAAAGTGCGGCTGTAAATGATGAGGCGTCAATAGGAATTGATGCAAATGGAAAGTAGTGAAACGATTGCTGATTTCTTCCACAGATTTACCACTCACACGAATGCGATGAAGAATTACGGTAAAACAATCACGGATCAAACGATTGTTGAGAAAATCTTGTGAACCCTATGCCCCAAATTCGACCATATTGTGGTAGAAATAGAAGAAGCGGAGAGCTTGGCGAAATGAAGATAGAAGAGCTACAAGGCTCTCTTGAAGCACACGAACAAAGAATCATAGAAAGGAGCACAGAAAAATCGAGTGAGAATCAAGCATTGCAAGTGTATATACAAGAAGAGGCAGATTCAACCCTAAAGCAGGTTCAAGAGGCAGGGGCCGTGGAAGATATTCCAGAAGCGCGTCTGGGAGAAATTCTCAAAATCAAGAACAAGAAAAGAGTGAGCAATATTTTTCAGAATACTAAAACAGAAGAGGAGAATCAACAAATTGGCGAGGAGGAAAGAAGATAGTTGATAGAAAGAGGCTTAAATGTTTCAACTGCGATCGAATTGTACACTTCTCAATAAAATGCATAGCTTCATCAAGTTAGAAAGAACGTTGTGGTAGTCAATCATGTAAGAACAAGAAGTGTTTCTACATCTGACCTTAAGATTTTGATGATATCTTTACATGGTATCATAAAGTACAATTGTATACTCTAATGATTTCATTCTAGTGTGTAATTGCTATTGTAATGTTCTAACTCTGGTATCAAGGCGTGTGATGTCATCAGGTTCTAAACATAAACACTACTGGAAGAAAACATTTGGTTACATGTTACAGTTGAAGTCAAAATTCTAGAATTCGTCTTATGCAACGGTTCTTAGGAACGTTAGTACAATAGGTTCTGATCGTGACTTTGTAGTTAAGATTTGGAGGCCTTCTAAAGCTTTACTTCTGTGTGTTCCAAGTTTTGAAGATTATGAAGATGAGGTTCAGCTGAACAAGTTCTGATGATCTGAAGAAAAAAAGTTCTTACAACCAAGTGTTGAAGACTCCGAAGACAAGGTTTTGATAGGACAAATTTTGAAGACTCCAAGACTTAAGTTCTAAGACTTAAGAGTGATTCTTCTACAACAAGCTTTAAATATTCAAATTATCTGAAGCCTCTGAAGATTGGAAGAGATTCAAAATGGTTAACGTGTGATGGTGTACAAAAGGTACAAAAAGTGTTATGTGACCTCTACCCTCTAGGGTGGCGTACGGAAAATCCTTTCGTACTATATTGTCAACCACTCTCATTATGACCGTTGGAAACAAACAAATGTTTTCCATATTATATTTCTACACTTAATGGCTATACGTCTACAAGCTAAGTAGAAAAACATTTATTGAAGATAAGGTTAAAGTTAAACATTGTAAAGTGACAAACAATGAATAGTATCACTCTGTACTGTCCAAACTCATAAACCTTATTCTATCCGTTGGGAACTAACTGTTGATGCAGGAAAGGATTTTTTAATCCTCACAACATCTCTCTCTCAAGGCTATAAAAGAAGATCAAATATTTGAAGTAAAATGCTCTTGGCCATCAAGCTGAAAAGTCGTGGATGCTAAAGCTGTCAAAGCTGCAATGCTAAACATGCTGAAGACCACTACACAGAAATGAGAGAAAATAAAGAAAGATAAAGTAGAAGAAATCTACAAGATGCTACATAAACTATCATCATATACATCTTGGTAGATCTCAAAAGAAGCACAAAGTTGTTGCTCGTAACTTGCTCAACAAGAAGATGAAGAAGAAGAACACTACAAGATGCTACCCAACTTATGATCAAATACATCTCGATAGAACATTCTAATTTACAAAAGAGTTTTTTCTTGTATTGTGTTATAGTTCTAATCTCTTCATGTAAATTATTTTAACACAATAGTTGTTGCTCGAAATTGTGTTAAACAATATGTGATTAATCACTTGTGTAATCTGCTTAGAAGAAGCAATCATGTAAACATAAAACCTTATCAACTACTGTTGATTGATTCCTTGAGTGAGCAAGTGAAGGTATGGTCTCAAGAAGACAATGGTTGCATCTCATTGTAGAAAATCCTAATAGAAGATCTTAAGTGATCTGATTATGTTAGGTCAATAATTGTCATATCGGTTAAATTGGATCACTGAACATATCATTGAAAGGTTCCTTGAGTGATTGAGTGTAGGTCTAATCTCAAGAAGACAGTGGTTGCATGTCATTGTAGAAAATCCTAATAGGAGATCTTAAGTGATCTGATTTTGTAGGGTCCGTGATTGTTATATCCATTAAATCAGATCATTGAACATATAATTGAAAGGTTTCTTGAGTGCCTAAGTGAAGGTATGATCTCAAGAAGACAGTGGTTGCTGGTCATTGTGGAAAACCCTGATAGGAGATCTTAAGTTATCTGATTCTATTGGGTCAATGAACATTATATCTGTTAAGTTTAATCATTGAATGTATCATTGTCTGTTAGTCACCGGGGGTTGCCCGTGAATTTGTAATCAGTTTGGTTATAGTGGATTAAGTCCTTGTTAAAGGCAAATCACCTTGAGGACTGGACAGGATTAACCTTGTTAAGGTGAACCTGGATAAATTACTTGTGTTCTTTACTCTTCACTGTCCTTATAGATTTTATTATTTGAGTGGTTAGAATTTCTAAAGGGGAGTGTTTTCTATAAACTCAATTCAAAATCCCCCTTTCTTGTGTTTTCTCTACCTTCAATTGGTATCAGAGCACAACTCTGTTATTGATTCAAGAATCAAACACTTAACCGTATAGAGAGATCCAACAAGAGAAAATTCTTTGGATAGTATTTACTAAAATGATTGAAAGGTTTTCTTTTCAAAGTGCTTCTTGAGAAGAAATCAAAATTTTAAATAGGAATCAGAAATGAAGACAAAATCTCTGGAAACAAGTTCTCAGAATTCTGAAGAGTCAAGTACCTGATGGAAAAGGAATTCATCTTCTCAACATCAGAAGTTCTCCATCAGAAGTAAAGGTCAATAATCAAGTACTCCAGATCATTAATTGAAGATGTCATCCAAATGACAACCGCTGCAAGCTGCTATGGATCAAATGAATATCGTCTTGAGTAGATCTATCAAAAGCTCTGAAGAAGGCAAAAGCTTCTAAAAGATAGTGCTTCAAAAGTCTAAAGATGAATCTGTTGAAAGTTCAGTAGATTTGTCCATGATACTCAGAAGAATATTTGTCCAGTAAACATGTTCAGAATCACCAGAAAGACTGATGGATATTCATAATCTATTTTGGCTGAAGGAAGTCAAACGGAAAAGAAGTCATATACTGGGAGTTGAGCTAGTGTGCCTAATCTCAGAAGTAATGGAGTTGCTGCTAAAGTTCAAGAAGTGAGAGAATATGAAGATGTTCTTCAATAAACTTCTGATAAATTAGACTCCTCTACAGAAGTTCAGGAAAAGGCTACCATTTTTGAAGAACCGTTTCTGGGTGAACCCGTCTGAACCAGATCTCTCCTTAAACCTTCTAAAGAAATATTCTTAGCTCAGTGTCTATGATAACATCTTCACTGGTTGAAGAAACATCAGGACAAATAATGAAATACAAGAAGTGCTCAACATAATGGCTGATCAGAAACAAGCTCAATGATTAAGGTAAACTCTTCACAAGCAGGATATGCCAGGTGTTGGCTCCTAAATTCGACACCCTTGTTTTTACTAATATCAGCCATTAAAGTTGAAGGATGTTTTCGACCAGCTGGGTCTGTCGAAATTCCATTGAAAGATGGCAATGTACTTAGAAGATTTCTTCCAAGGGGGAAGTTGGTTGCCTTCGACGTCGATTGTGTTTCTCGTCGAAGATGCTTCTCGACGAAGATGTTCGATGGTTCAGAGTGGAACGATTTGAAATTCAAGTGTTTGGAGGGAAAACGGTTTCCAGCGGTTACCAAGTGCAACGTGCAAAGATCTGGAGCGTCGAACACTGAGAATGTGCCAAGTGGAGTCATCTCGAAGCAGTGTAACTGCCCGACGGTTACTTGGGATGTTTTAGTATAAATAGTAGTAGGTCACGCAATTTCTCGCGTGTGTTCACAATTATATACAAAGTCACTCATATAGATTCGAGTACCCAGCGTGTGAGAAAGAATTGTTGAGAATGTATGTGTGAAACACCACTTTTATTAATCAAAGTCATTTACTTTCCAGAAACTTTACTTGCTTTCTTCTTTACTTTCCCTGTCGAAGCCCCTTTATTTCAAGCCTTCATTTATTTTATCAAG